ACTACTACTACTACTACTACTACTACTACTACTACTACTACTACTACTACTACTACTACTACTTGTACTAGTACCAGTACTACTACTACTACTACTACTACTACTACTACTACTACCACCGCTACTACTACTACTACTACTATTATTATTACTACTGCTACTGCTACTGCTACTGCTACTGCTACTGCTACTGCTACTGCTACTGCTACTGCTACTGCTACTGCTACTGCTACTGCTACTGCTACGCGACGACTACGACCACTACGACGACAACGAATACTACGACTACCACCACTACCACTCGTGCTTAACCACGTCAGTCCGAAATTGCTCCCGCACGTTCCTATGGACCTCTTTACATGTGTATTTATATACATATATATATATATATGTATACACGTATATATCTGTTTCGCCATCTGTTTCAATCTCCCTCTATATATACATATGTCTATCTATCTATCTGTCTGTCTGTCTGTCTGTCTGTCTGTATGTATGTATGTATGTATGTAGGTAGCACTGTCCAAGAAGCCTTGTACCGACTCCCCGCATCCTGATTGGCCGAAGGACTAGCTGATACCTATCCGACGTATCGCCTCCTGGAATGCGAACCCTCCGGAACTCGACCCGAAATTCCCAAAGACCACTCTCGTTGCAGGTCATAGCATGGCCAGCATGCAGTGGGGCTTTGTCGGACTTGCGGTGGCCTCATCACACACACAGAGGCAGGCTTTGGAGTATAAGATTATTCGACGCATCAGGCAATCTCCAGGGAACCTGTGCATGCTCATTTACTGGACATCTGACACTCCAAACAAAGAGGTAGGCAATCATGCATAATCATGCACAGTGCTTGCCCGTTCTGGGCAAGCCTGTTTCGAAGATGTCGCCTAGGCCCTGGGCTGAACCTTGCCAACTCCGGAAGAATATTGGCCGAGGTGGCGCCCATGCCGCAGTACGGCTTGATCGGAGCCTCTGGTCTGACATGATCGGGGAAGGAGTGCGGGAAAGGTTGGGCGTTCCCAAGCTTTCTTGAAGTTGGGACCCGATCCTGAGACTCGAGTCGCCAGTCAAGCCACACTGCGGTATTCCCTCAGCATCTGCACCAACGATGTCAAGAATTCATGGGAGGATCCTCCAGGAGGTGCACTGCCTTGTTCATCGTGTGCCCATCATTGATCACTGTCGAAGCTGTGTATGGGGCCCAAGCCCAAGCCTTCAAACTGTTCTTGCAGTCGGGACCCAATCCGCTTGACTTTCTTGCTGTTGCAATATAGGCTCGAATCGCCAACCAAGCCGTACTGCGGCATGAAGTCACTGAGGTGACTTCATGCCGCAGTACGGCCTGCTCGGAGACTCTAGTCTTAGTCTCTGTTGCAACAACAGCAAGAAAGTCAAGCGGATCGGGTCCCGACTGCAAGAACAGTTGGGAACCAACGACCTTTGGTATCCGTCGCCAATGCGGGCGTTCACAAGATCCTCCAGATGTTGAAGGATACCCGCTTGACTTTCGGTACGCTGGGCATAAGCTACTTCGGCAACGACGTCACGGAAGGGAGAATCCGCCCGGAGGTGCGCTGCATCGTTCATTCTCCGCATAGCACTGACCGCCTTCAAGAAGCCGTGTAGTTTTCTGGTAATGAATTTGCAGGGGCAGTCTTTCAACGTCGAGCTTCGAATGGTTTCGCTAAAGCCAGGCTGGAGCTGCCTGGGAAGAGCTGATGGACTTGGGGGAGGAGGAGGCCCAGCTATGCGGGTTGGGAGCTTACGACAGGTAGGGCTCTGGTGTTGGATGCAGTTGAGGACTTCCGGGCTTTTTCCGGAAGCGCCCGGGGGTTTCGAAATGAACCTTTTATCTGGCGGTGATTGTTGTCCGTTGTCTTCTTGAGTGAAACGTTTTGGGGGGTCGGGGCTCGGGGGTTTGAGTGGATGCCAGTCTCCTCGTCACCCCTTTTGAAGTTGACCTACGCTTTGAGCTTCGAGATGTTGGGGCGGAGTTTACAGTAGTCCGAGGATCTATGCGATGTGTCATGCTGGAGAAAGCTAGGTTTCCCTCGACTGCCACTAGAGGCCGAGGGCTACCGTGGCACCTTTCGCTTTGCCCATGATACGGATTGTGCTTGTCAATATGTTCCGTACATGAGACTGAGCTGCGCGCACGTCCAGGGTCAGCGTTGCGGAGTTTGCCCATCGCTCCAGACGCTTCCTGAGCTGAGTTTCTGTCGCCCAGAGTTCAGTGCACAAGCCTGCCGCGGTGTTTGTCTGCCGTCCAAGTCCAGGCTTCAAGTCTGCTTTCTCGGGACAAGCACTCGTAACTCCCAGGTCTTGGCGTCCATCATCGCAGAGACCAGCGAGAAGCTGTCGGGGTCCCAGCTTTCAGTTTCCCTTCGCTTGACATGTCCTGTTGCACATGCTGTTTGTGTGTGTGTGGCCACGTTCGTGCGCGCACAGAGGAAGCAGCTGCAGGAGGTACAGTGCTTCTGGCTTAGTGGAACTCCAAGTCTGTATTCTGTTGTCGTTACACGAGACCATTTCAACTTCTTTTCTGATGTGCAGGTAGTTTTTCACGAGCAATGTTGCCCATTCCTCGTGAAGAGATGCGGTCCCAAACGCCGTCGATCCCGACCACAGCCTCCAAGCCTCGCAGCTCACTTCATCTGTGGCCAATGAGGATGAAGCAGAAGAAGAACGGCGATGCAAAAAGAACGGCGACAGGAAGGGGGACAAGAAGGAGCGATCCTCGTGAGCTCGCCAGCTGCAAGGGCCAGAGGGAGGTTTGCATCTAATGAATCTCTCTTCAACCGGAGCCCGGAACCCCCTACATAAGCCCTAAGCTACACTACTACTGCTGCAATCTACTCCATCTAGGCCACAGCGAAGGACGAGCAAAAAAAACACAGCATGTCATAGAAGCATCTTGCTTCTGGTCCTTTTCAACAAAACAACAGCAACTTTAGGGCGCCCTTTCCGGTACCGAGATTTTGCCGACACCTCGGTGGACCGAAGCAGTGCCGCTGTTGCGAAGCAACGGGTAGCACTGCGTCTGCCAGCTCGGCTGGTTCGTGGAAGGGAATGAAGATGTCAACGAGAGCGGTGAGGGAGGATTCTGGAGGGAACAGCGCCTTCATTCCCGGTTAAGTACCGCCCAGCACCAGCTGGCAAGTGGACCCAAAGCGCCGGGAGCTGGATAACGTGAGCTACGAGCCGCGGTGCGCGTACTTGGAGTGGCCTCCCAACGAAGTTGTAATCAGAATGCCGGCTACAGTGACAGCAACGAGGCCAGAATACACGAGTCAATACTAGCGCAAGCTCGATGAGGGATACCTCATATTTGGTAACTTTCAGCCTGCGGTATGCGAAGAGACGGAGAGGGGGTTCCACCTCTTCTGCGCGAGCGGAGGTTCCGAGGAGCTCAGATCCTACTTTAGCACCGGACTCCGGTGTTTGTTCCGTGGGAATCGCAAGTTTTGCATACCAGCCCTGCAGGCACCGCCACGAAAAAATGGCTGCCTCTGGTTCTGGGAAACCTCGAACAGATAAGTCTTAGCACCCTTGACCGCGTAAGTGCTGCTGCATGACTGCTTCTGTCCTTGCATTGAGCTCAGGGTCTTTGTGTCGAAGTTTCAATTCCCCCGGCCCGAGAGTATTCCTCGCCCCAGGCGATCAAACGTCAGGACCTCCCATGCATCACTTGGGACCGAATCATAGGAAGCCCTAGATTTCCAGCGGCATGTCTGGTGTTTCGTGGGAAGCGTGGAGGGCTCAAAGTCCATGAGTCGGGCAAGAGCCATAGCAGCATCCATGGCGCTGGAGGCGGCACCATGGCACAAGACGGCAATTGGTCTGTAACGCAGCCATCATGACGATGCCGCGTTTTCATCTTTGCCTTAAATCAGGACGCGGCTAGGATGAGTAAGAGATTCCGTACTGGTAGCGGTAGATTCCCAGATCCCCGAACGATCGCATGTCTTGAAAAGCATAAGCACTAGCAATCAGCGTGACTCGACACCACGAGTTTCATCAAAGAGCTGAGACCCCGAACCCAAACTGAGAAAACCACAGTATTTCCCTCCATGCAGGGGCGGCGGCGCCCCCTGCGCGTGCTGCGGGGTGCAGCTGCGCTGGGTGCGGCTGTGGTTCTCACAGGCAAGAGCTGGACGCTGAGGGTTTTGGAGATATCAAAGGCGGGCCTCAACATCCTCAACCCAAATCCCGCTTCGATGCTAGAAGGACACGAAGATGCCAGGCGTATATATCATATTTTATATCATATATTATATGTTATGCATTCTATATTCTATATTCTGTGTTCTTTGTATATATTATATACTCATCATACATGATGTATATATTACATGCTATATGACATATTTTATGTTAAATGTTAGATGTTATATATTTCACATTATATATACTGCATTATTTATTATACATAATTCATTATATAATATTTTACATCTCGTGTATTCTATACTGCATATGATATACTATATATGTCCTGTGTGCCATTGGTATATACTTTATGACATATATTAGATGGTGCATTGTGTCGTATATAACATATTTACGTTATATGTTATATGTCTTGTTTTATATATATATATAGTTAAGAAATAACGACCCCTAAGCACCTAGTAGTGGTGTAGTAAAACATAGCTTCTAGGCCTCACGTTGTAGACTGCAACAGTACATGTTTCACACCGAGAGTTACCATTGTATTTGGCTCAAGACATGACCCAGGAAAATAAGAGTGCTACTGCATCATCTGTGGTAAGCCTCTGCGGGGTTTGTGTCTTGGTGTTTGTAACTTATATATGTGTTAAATGCTACATTATATATATCTATATCAAATATTACATATTAGATGTTATATACTATGTTTCATGTTGTACGTTTTATACCATTCATTTCATATCATATGTTATATGTCATTGCATACTACATATTATATGCTGTTTGCTATATGTCATATGTTGTATATCATATAATATATATATATATATACATCTGTATAATATGTACGTGTATATATATGTATATGTATATGTATATATATATATATATATGCTACCCCCCTCACGTACCTACCTATTTGCTGTGTTTATGCCACCGGCGTGTGGCTGCAGAACTTCATCTGCATTAATATAGGCGTTGGCAACCGCCGTTTAGCAAGTTTCCTTGTACTGCTCGCCAAATAATATGTCTGACCCATTCCCTGCAGCTTCGCAGTCAAACAGTATTGGCGATACATTTGCTATGCTTGTGTTAGAACGAATGCCCAGTTAATATCAAGTTAGTATTTGTTGTTGAATTGTTCAGGTTGTTCTGCCTTCCTGCTCGAGCCACACAGCATGTAGCATTCAGACATGATTCATGAAATGTAACATTCAATTTCAATTGGCACAGCTAATCGGTGCAGTAGTACCAAAGAGACAGAGAGAACCAACCACGCAGTAACAATTAAGCGCTAGCTGTTTCTTCGGTAGTGCGTACCACTTCTTTCATTGAGAGGAGATACCAAAGAACATGTGAATACGCAAAAAGTACTCACTAGCGACTACGCCCTGGAATGCCGTATGCATACCTGGGACAATACGAAAACTTCGTTGCGTACATATTCATGAAATATTTAGAGGATGAAATAGCTGTTGGGCGAGATCTCGAAGAAACGAAGCACATAGTAGTGGAGCACTGCTGAAGCTGTATGTGATCGTCACATATAGAGTGAATACTTACAAGTTTCTTTCTGTTAATATGCCTTACATACTATAATGAGCAGAAAAACTTGGCACAGAACATCAAGGGGCATGAAGATAATACTTAGATGAGCTTTAACCATTGTACAAACCTATAAAAGTGATGCACCGCCTGAATGCGACGTTAATACTATGCGCTAAGCATTACCATTCAATATTGAAGTTTCAATGAAGCGAAATACCCGCGAACATGCAGCCATCACTACTCAAATACCAAACAAGTATTCCACCAAATAGAGGTTTAGTGCACAATAAGTATGTATACGGTATTTGAACACGTGCTATGTGCAAATGATACGCGACAGTCGCATGACGAAAACACCACATTTAAGTATATGTTACATATGAGTGCCTATTGACGAAATGTGCAGATAGCCATTTCAGCATTTTGGTGCTCAAGCACAATTGAACAGTGACAATATTTTGGTACCAGGAAGAACGCTGCGCCATATAATGAAACAGTATTGCTTAAGGTTTATATGAGCATGAAATGTAAAGCGCCTACCAATCCGAAGCTTTTTATCTTGGTGCAACAGTTGGTCGTAGTCGCAGAATTCATTGAACATCAGTTAGCTATTAGATGGGAGAGCACAATTACAGAGACGTGTTCGGAGAGTCCAAATGTTTTGGGCTTATGGTGGCCCAAAACCTTGAACACTCCCATGGTTTTCGGCTTCTTTGAGCATAACAGTGTGGAGAGGCCCCCGGTGTTTTGGGGATGTGGGGGCCCAAAAACATTGGGACCTCTCATGGTTTTGAGCATCCTGGCATGCGAAAGTGCGGAGAGGTCCCAAAGTTTTGGACCTATTGGAGGCCAAAACATTGGGACTTCTCATGGTTTTGAGCATCCTGGCATGCGAAAGTGCGGAGAGGTCCCAAAGTTTTGGACCTATTGGAGACCAAAACATTGGGACCTCGCATGGTTTTGAGCATCCTAGCATGCGAAAGTGCCGAGAGGTCCCAATGTTTTGGACGTATAGGAGCCCAAACGTTGGCGTGCGAGAGTGCTGTTTGGTCCCAATGTTTGAATCCAAAACATTGGGTTTCTGGTTCTGGGACTGTGTGGGAGAGCATGATTTTGCGGCTTTGGGACTGTGCGGGAGAGCACGATCTCGCGGTTTTGGGACTGTGTGGGAGAGACCTGATCAGGAAACACAGGCAAAGGGTAGGTACGTGGGGGTGGCACCGTATGTATATATATATATAT